AGTGACTCGTGGTTAGCTTGTCATCTCACAGCAAGAAGGTCGCTGATTCGAGCCTCGGCTGGGTCAGTTGGTGTTTCTGTGTGGAGTTTGCATGTTCTCCCCGTGTTGGTGTGGGTTTCCTCCAGGTGCTCCGGTTTCCCCCACAATCCAAACACATGCGCTATAGGGGAACTGATCAACTACATTAACTGTAGTGTATGAGTGTGAATCAGTGTGTATGGGTGTTTGTCAGTACTGGGTTGCAGCTGGATGGAGCTTGGCGGTTCATTCCACTGTGGCAACCCCCTGATAAATTGAAGACTAAACTGAAGGAAAATGAATGAATGTTTTTCTTTCATATAAATTGTCCCATAAAAATTAATTTAAATAATGTCTTATTAAATAATTATTAAATTAATTTGATAAATTAAATTCAATTAAGCTGCATTCAGTTTTAATTTATTTATTTCTCTCTGTCTGTCATGCATACTATATATGGCAAATGTGCTATTATCTACTATTACTTCTATATAAGCATACAATTTTAATATATTATCAGTTTTGTTTCTTTTGAATTTGTTTAGGGAATAAAAACATATATATATATAATTGTTATTATCATATTATAATTATCATTATTATGCAGTTTTTAAAAAAATATTTTTTAGAAACATTTATATGTAAACTGGAAAAATAACCTAACATTATATTTTCTGTATATAAACTACCTGACAGAAGTCTTGTGGCCTATCCAAGTTTTGGGAACCCAAATAATAAATTGACTAGTTGCTGATTTGGTGTCAGAAGTGTCTCTATGAAAGGTGAAGGCCTCTAGATTTTGCTGATTTGAGCTCAATAAATCTGATCATGTCTTGATGTTGACTGATTTGATGAGGACAGTGCGCTCTGACTCTGCTCAGACTAAAGTGTCATCACTGAACAGAAATAATGTCCAGTATAGAATATAAAGTCCTGCTGCAGTGGAGACAGAATGAATATTGTGTCTGACTCCATCATGAGCTTGGAGGACTGCATCCATACATCTCTGACATGACTCAAATCACTGATTAATAAAGTCATCTGGAATGAAGAAGAAAGCCTTCAGCAGGATCCCAGAATTCATCAAGATTCATCTTCAACACCTCCTTCATTTTACCCCAGACATGCTCAATAATGTTCATGTCTGGTGACTGGGCTGGCCAATCCTGGAGCACTCTCTGCTTTCAGGAGTTTTGATGTGGAGGCTGAAGTATGAGCAGGAGCGCTATCCTGCTGGAGAATTGTCCCTCTCCTGTGGTTTGTATTGTAATGGGCAGCACAGATGTCTTGATACCTCAGGCTGTTGATGTTGATCGTCCACTCTGCAGATCTCTCCATACTGAATGACCCCAAACCATGATTTCTCCTTCATCAAACTTGACTGATTTCTATGACAATCTTGGTCCATGCTGGTTCCAGTAGGTCTTCTGTTTGGGATGATTGGGATGCAGATCAACAGATGATTCATGAGAGAAATCCACCTTCTGACACTTTCACACATCATCAACTAGAAGGCGAGTTATTATTTGTTGTTCCTAAAACTTGGATAGGTAACAAGACTTTTGTCAGGCAGTGTGATTGTAAATACACTCTCAGAAATAAAGCTTTTCAAAAGGTATAAAATTGTAGCTGAAGGGTCTATTTTGGTACCGCAGAGGTACATTTTAAGTACATTTGGGTACTAATATGTACCTTGAGGTATTACTGCAGACTCTATAGGTACAACTTTGTATCTTTTAAAAAGGTAACTGCCCGTGACGGCTCCTGTACCTGTATTTCTGAGAGTACATATAAATAAGTCACACAGTTTTGTGGGTTTTTTTTTAAATGCACAATCAGTCAATCAGTTAACCAGTTAATAAATAAATGCCCTCCATTAATTAGGACTTTTTTCATACCAAATATTTTTTAACAGTAAATGTACTGGTGATCATACACAAGCTATATAGGCTAACTCAAACCTGTGGATGCATCTAAAATAAACCTTAAAACTGAGACTCTGTTATCTCCGGCCAGTGTATATAATGAGAAATGTGCAGCCGCAGCTAAAGCGTTTTAAAGTGTTTGAGCTTTGGCAGATCTTCAGTGTTTAGCAGAGCACCGTATCTGCCTCAACATCTGCTTATCGGCTTTAATCTCACATGCACTTTCAACAGGGCACAAAAAGAGGAGGAAACACATGCTTTCCCTGCCCTCTAGGACCTGCAGCAGACACTGACATATGATTCCTCGCTATTCTAGCAGATAAAGAGGTGAAGCTTTACCATGATGAGGATCCCAGTGTCCTGACCAAATTACCCCTATTGGCCCTTACCGGCCTCCCAGTCATCCCCATCCACTGAATTGGCTCCATCACTGTCTCTCCACTCCACTTATTGCTGGTGTGTGGTGAAGCACTGGTGCTGTTGTCCTGTGGCTGCCGGAGCATCATCCAAGTGGAGCTGCACACTGGTGGTGGTGTGGAGAGACCCTCCTCATGATTGTGAAGTGCTTTGGGTGTATGGCTATGCATGATTAATGCACTATATAGATACACACATTACATTACATCATGATATTTCAGTGCAGTTGACTTTATTAGGAGCTGTAGGTGTTGTTTTGTTTGTGTGTTTGTTGCAGCACAGGATGGAATTTGATGTATGAGCCATTTCACATAAGTAGATGTGCGATATCTGTATATCGGCACTGTGCCTTTAGGGTCCCGCCAGTGCCATTATAAAGCAATATTGCACTGCTATGAATGTGATATTGCATTTATACAACAGTTCGATGAAATAATAACGTATATATAAAAAAGAAAGTCTCTAGAGAGTCTTAAAATCCTTTTGAATGAGGAACTACTTTCTTCCACCAGTCATGTACATCTGCAGCAGACATCAGAGCAGTAGAACCGTTGTTAATTCACCAACGTCACTATAGAGCTAGTGTTTGAACGATTCTCTATAGCATGATGTCCTAAGTGATGACAAAACAGCTGATTTTGCTCACATTTTAATATTAGAAGGCTGAACAGCAGGAAATGTCATCAGTCTACAGAGATTTCCCAGTATTACTCTGTTGCAATCAGGACAACAGAATAATTAACCCTGAAAAAACAAAGCAAACACTAGCAGATTACTATGGTATAAATACAACATACAAAGGAGAGAGAGATTGACTTAGTCACTTACCTGTTGTATAATGATTTGATCAGCTGTAGTTTAAAATTTACAGAGTTTTTCTCCTTTAAGGGCTTATTATGTGGTTTCTGTCGCCCTCTTGTGGCTGAACGTCAACCCTCTTTGCTCTGCCCAATGTCAGGCTGATGTCCGCCGATGTACTGAACCTCTGAAATGATGAATATTTAAAATAGGCACTATCCTTCTAAATAAACTGCATAGCTGCAATCTAAACAACTACATTCTCATCTAAAAAAGCCTCAAAAGTGCATGAAGTTGTCCAACAGCTGCAATATTTGTCAAACTGTAGTGAGTTTACTGATGTGCTGTCACTCTATGTGGGCGGAGTAATACACAAGAGTGAAGAGGCAGTAGGAGTGCTGATGTTGCAGAAATTCTCATGGCTATCATATGATCATCGTCATATCTTATCAGATCATCACAGACACACGGTCCCACTTATCAGGTTCAAAAATAACGTTGGTCAAATATTATTTAAATCCTATAAGTTTATTAATGGCGAGGCAGTGGGGCAGTGGGTAGTGCTGTCGCCTCACAGCAAGAAGGTCGCTGGTTCGAACCTCGGCTCAGTTGGTGTTTCTCTGTGGAGTTTGCATGTTCTCCCTGCCTTCGCGTGGGTTTCCTCCGGGTGCTCCGGTTTCCCCCACAGTCCAAACACATGCAGTACAGGTGAATTGGGTAGGCTAAATTGTCCGTAGTGTGTGAGTGTGTGTGTCTACCTTTACACTTTGACACAGCAGAAAGTTCTAACCAGCAGGCCCGTGTTATATGCTATACAGTACAGATACTTAATAAATAACCCACTATAAATTAAAAGAATTAACGTATACTTTTTTGTTTTCACAAGCTTTGGAGACGTAACATAAATCCCGCTTTTAGTCTAAATAATAGGTCACCTACAGCTTTCGCCATGAGGCTGTGCTCAAAATGACATCAATGTTTTCAAAGTGCGCAGCAAAGGGAGCACAATTGTACACATGAAGATGAACTGTAAAAATATTTTGAAAGCAAATCACACTAAGAGAGATGAGCTTAATGCTTTTTTATTTTTAATCATCCCAAGTTTAAATGTTAGAATGTTCTAAATGAATAGGGCATAGGGGGGATACGTGGGAATAGAACACAGCCTGGAACTGTTTCTAACTACAGCTCCAGAGGTGTAGTTGCAAGTGCACAAGTTTGCGATGCAGTTTGCGAATGTTCGTTGAATCGACGAATTTGGGAAGTGTCAAATCAACAAACTATGTTTGTAACGACAGAACTTGTGACCTAAGGTGGCAAACGATGGTTTTGGGAAATGCACCCCTGGTCTATACTTCACATAGACAGTGAATTGACACCTATTGCTTGCTGCAAGAATAAAACTAATTATAATATAATATTTAAGTCTGAAATTTCCTTCATAATAGTCTTATAAAGTTTTTGACTTTGTGAAACTCTTGTCTAGTTGACTTCATTAGTACCTGTAGGTGTTTTGTTTGTTTGTCGCAGCAGAGGTTTGCATTTAACGCAATCAAATACCATCATCAGACACACAAGTTCCCACTGAAAACTCAGGTTAAACACAGTTTAATAGTTTATAAATCCTAAAACGTTTCATTTTCTGAAGATGATGATGATAACTCCTCTGCTTGATCAGTCTGCTGCTGCTGCTGCTTTAAGCTGGTGGTCAGAATCATTCCACCTCTGCGGCAGAACAGCAGGACGGATAAAGCTCCACACACACACACACACGCGCGCGCGCGCACACAGACACACTGCGCATCACATGCACATGTCTGACATCAGTTTCCCCGTCTGCAGAACACGGTGGCCATCGCCTCCATACACCTCCCGCTGGCGGTGGAGAACTCCACCTGTAAGCTGCAGCTGATCGTCTTCCGCAATGGAAAGCTGTTTCCGTGCACCGGGAATTCATCAAACCTTGCGGACGATGGGAAGCGCAGGAGCGTCTCGACACCAGTTGCGTTCACCAAATTAGGTAAGTGTGCAAGCTTGCGCGGTCATTTCACCTGATGCATCATCCTGGGTTAATTAGTGACGCGGTTTTCGCATGCAGTTACACGAGACCGCGTAAAGCAGCTGCGATGCGTGATCGAGTGCGTGCTTATTCTCAATTATTGATAATGCATGCGTATTTTTGTATCTGTAGTTTACTTTCTAATTGCGTGATTTTAGTTAAATGAGAAAGCCTTAACAGTTGCGATGCAATATGGAGTGCGTAGCTATTCTCTCTCATAAGGCATGCTTATTTTTCTGGAATCTGTATGTTTTGTGAGTGCACTTGCGTTATTTGCGCATGCAATTAAACGAGAAAGCGTAAACATCAGCGAGTGTGTAGTTATTATATTTTATTAATACATGCATGCTTATTTTTAATCTATTTAGTGAGCATGCAATTAAATGAGAAAGTGTAAACAATTGCGATGCATCAAAGTGCGTATGGCTTCTCATTTATTAATGATTGCGTGCTTATTTCGGAATCTGTTTTGTGAGTGCACTCTCCGCATGCTAGTAAATGAGAACAGTTGCGATGCATTCGCTATTCTCATTTATTAGTAATTGCATGCTTAATTTTGTAATCTATGTGGCTGGTGAGTGCACTTTCCACTTGGGTTGTTACTTGACGCAATGTCTTGCTCTCCGTGCAGATGGGTGTAGCCCCTGGAGCCCCGTGCAGCCGGTTACCGTCGCTCTCCGCCACTTCTCGCTGGGTGTAGACCCCACCGCGGCATACTGGGATTTTGACCTGCTGGATGGACACGGCGGCTGGCGGGCGGAGGGCTGCCATATAACCGGCTCCGCGCACAACACCACCACCATCCGCTGCGCGCAGCACAATAATCTGGCCGTGCTCATGGTAAGAGTCGGGTTTGAATGCACAACTGCTGCAAGGGCGAATGCTGTGAGGTGATGCACGTGATCATGACGAGCGCGAAGGACATCAGATCGATATTTAACCCTTGCGCATTGATTGCTCAAATTGACCCCTGTTTCCTTATGTTGTTGGTGGACTTCCAGTATTATGAGATTTTTTGATTGCAAAGCCTGACAGCGTTTAGTCATGCTTTCTTGGTGATTGTTGCTGGTTTTCCCTCTTGGTAAGAGGGACAGTGTGTCAGTTTAGTTTTGATCATCAGTTGTCAGCATTAACCCTTTAGATGGGCCTGTGCTGAAGAGTTTCTGGGTTTCTGTGGAGTAAAACAGCAGTGTGTGTGTGTGTGTGTGTGTGTGTGTGTGTGTGTGTGTGTGTGTGTGTGTGTGTGTGTGTGTGCAGAAACACACCGTGTCCTGAGATCTGAAGGGCTTATTTTGATCTTCTTAGACAAGCTCAGTTGGCGTTTCTGTGTGGAGTTTGCATGTTCTCCCTGCGTTCGCGTGGGTTTTCTCCAGGTGCTCCGGTTTCCTCCACAGTCCAAACACATGTGGTGCAGGTGAACTGGGTAGGCTAAATTGTCTGTTGTGTGTGTGTGTGTGTGGATAATTCCCAGAGATGGGTTGCGGCTGGAAGGCCATCCGCTGCGTAAAAATGTGCTGGATAAGTTGGCGGTTCATTCCGCTGTGGCGACCCCAGATTAATAAAGGGACTAAGCAGACAAGAAAATGAATGAATGAATGAATGAATAAAGGTAAGGGTATAATGTTTTCTCTTACACACACAGGGCCGACCCTGTACATTTAGGGACTCTAAGCAGAATAGCAGAATAATTTTAGGGCCCTACCTTGCTCTAATGGTGGAGTATTGCCATTGCAAACTGGCCCACAATGATTTTATTGCTTATTTAAAACAATTAATGAAAGAGAAAGGTAAAGCCTGATTTCTTCTGCTTAATAATAGCTTGAACATTTTAAAGCAGCACTATATTTATGTCAACCAGCAGCTTCAAAAATAAAGAATTAAACAATCTATGTTAAAGGACCTACTTTGTGTCCCAATGGAGTGTTTAAAACATCTAATATAGCAAACAGATTGAAGATTCTATAAATCTTTTTATTTTTATTTATTTATTTTTTTTTTTTATAAATTCCAAAAGCAAAAACCCTGAAATGAATGGCAGAGAACAATAATTAGCCAAAACAAATAATATAAATTCAATATGAAGAATAATGTTAATATAGAAAAAAAACATATAGGAGAGCGCGGGGCACAAAGTAACGCGGGGTTAAATGTAACACAGAGTTTTAAGGTATTTGCTCAGGGTTAACCATGGCATGCCTCCAAGGTTTTCACCACACTGTCAGCAGATGTCTTCCTGCCAATTATTGAAGAAAGTTGGCAAAATTTGGATGAGAAACACTGAAGAAACCGTTTTTGCAGCATAAAAGTATTTTTATTATAGTCAATGTTTTTTTATTAAAAAAAAAAAATCTGTGAAAGTCTGTTTGTAAAATATGATATTGTTGTGATCACCGTCTTCTAGGCTAAAAGATTAAACCATTTTGAAAGATGTAAAACAAACAGTGACTGCTAGCCAGGTTTGAGGAAACATGACACAGCGGGTTAGTTGTAACAGGGTGTTACAATCAAGCCACACACTGTTGGACACCAATTAAACCAACAAAATAATTTTGAGTGTAAAAAAAAGTGTTAAGAACTTTTTAAATAAAAATGTTTTTTTAAATTAAAAAAATATTGTTTTAATAGAATTGTTTTAACTGCTAATAATGCAAATAAATGCATTGTATAATAATGAATAAATGAATAATAATGCAAATAAATGCATTGCATAATAATGGATAAATGAATAATAATGCAAATAAATGCATTGCATAATAATGGATAAATGAATAATAATGCAAATAAATGCATTGTATAATAATGAATAAATGAATAATAATGCAAAAAAATTCATTGTATAATGATGGATAAATGAATAATAATGCAAATAAATGCATTGTATAATAATGGATAAATGAATAATAATGCAAATAAATGCATTGTATAATAATGAATAAATGAATAATAATGCAAAAAAATTCATTGTATAATAATGGATAAATGAATAATAATGCAAATAAATGCATTGTATAATAATGGATAAATGAATAATAATGCAAATAAATGCATTGTATAATAATGAATAAATGAATAATAATGCAAAAAAATTCATTGTATAATAATGGATAAATGAATAATAATGCAAATAAATGCATTGTATAATAATGGATAAATGAATAATAATGCAAATAAATGCATTGTATAATAATGGATAAATGAATAATAATAATGCAAATATTTTTCGTTTTTTTTTGGCCGCGAGGGCTGGTGTCCCTAGCTGCTTGCACTCTTAGCAGTCGCGCTTTTTCATTTATTTATTTATTTGACCATAGCCTCACTCTTTTTATTCATTATTTCGCTGCAGCTCCGCTCTTCTTATTTATTTTCTCGCAGCCCTGTTAGCAAAATGCAGCTTGCAGGTTAATAATGTCAGCGGCACCTTAGTGAATATAAGAATTCAAAATATTTGAATAAATATTACACCTGCTCAATGAAAATCAGATGATTCACTACATTAACAAATCTGACATAACTTGATCAGAAATCTAAAAAGGGGAGAAAAAGTTTAAGCCATCATTAGTAAATTAATAGTTAAATAGTTAAATACTGTAAATTATAGTAATACTGTGTTAAAGAGTCATGCAGGTAACAGTGCAATACTTGTTTTTTATTCCAAACACAGCAGCACAATAGCGCCATTGTGGTAAAATGGTCAGCACGTTGCATTATATCGTCGCTGACCCGAGTTTGAACCTCACCAAAGTAATATATATATATATATATATATATATATATATATATATATATATATATATATATATATATATATATACACACACACACATATATAAAGAAAAATGCATAGCAATATATATATATATATATATATATAGATATAGGTGTGTATATATATATATATATATATATATATATATACATATATATATATATATATATATATATATATATATATATATATATATATATATATATATAT